TTCTCGCGACGGTAGTGGAAGTAGTGGTACACATCTCAATGAGGAAGTAGTCGCTACTGTTCGGGAAGCGGTGGTGGTACATGGTCATCGAGGAACTTGACGAATCCACGTTCAACGGTAGTCATTCACGACACTTGTGAACCATGGTTCTTCGGGCAACGGTAGTCATACACGTCCGTAGGTGTTCGGGGCCGTCGGTAGAGGTACTTGGCAATCCGGTCCGGTAGTCGTTCGGGCGCATGTGCTCTTGCCGATCTCGGTTCTTGTGATGGTAGTGATTCCCGTATCAACGTAGTGTAGTTGTACTTGACGGTCTTGACGGTTCCTCGATCGTAGAGGTCCACGTATCGTACATGTTCGGGGTCAACAGTAGTGGAACTTGGCATCCCCTCATTTGAACGGTCTTGACAATGATAAAAGGGGCCAACGGTGGTGCACGAAGGCAGCAAGAGTTTTAGTGGCATGCAATGCATGGCGGTGATTCTCGGGGTCCATGGAGGGGCGCAGAGGCAAAGAAGACATCAAAGCAAGGGTGACGTGGGAGGAAGCAGGGGTGCCGGACATGAACAACAGCTGCCTGAGGCTGGGAGCTCTGCAGCGGCGGCGTGCCTTCAGGAGCGAAGCATGGGTGCGGGCGCGCGTGGAGAGGCTCGAGGTCGCCGGCGGGGTTGCGAGGTGGCGCTCGGTGTCCCTAGAGAAGAGGCGGCGGTGGACTTGGCTGAAGAGGACGGCTCGGGCAGGAGCTTATCTGCACGGGGAGGAGGCTGACGGAGAGCACCGAGGTGGAGGCGTGCAGGCAGCAGCATGCCATGGGAGGTGGAGCTCGTGGTAGGACGGAGCGAGATGGCGCCGCGACGGTGCGGGAACGACGGCTCCAGCGCGGGGATGCCCGGATCTGGCCGGAGTCGAGACCAGAGGTGGGCGACGCGGCTTCCTGAGGAGCTTGGGGCGGCCACGACGAGCGAGCGAGCAACACGGGGAAGCAGGAGGCGAGGCAGAGCAGGGGCTCGCCGGTGGGACACAGGAGACCGGTCGCGGGGCGTGCGCTCCTCACCTCTTGACGGCGCAAGGAGGCAGGAGACGAACGATGGGAGAGGGAGGTGGATCGGGCAAGGTAGCGGTTAGGGTTAAGCAGGGGCGCGGCTGGACCTAGGAGAGGGATGGGTCGGCACTGGAGTTGGGCCTAGGGAGAGGATGGCCTAGGTGGGCCGGCTTGGTGGGAGGCCCAAGTGGCCAGCGGTGCATGCTCTCTCTCTCCCTCACGTTTCCTTTAGCAGAAAAGAAAAAGAGAGAGGAAAATAAGGAGAGGTTAGGAAAAGATTTACGCATGGGGGTGATTTTTCCCAGACTCATAAAAATGAGCTTAAACCCAGACAAATGGAGTGGGCAAGAATGCAAGATTTAAATTCCAAATCATTGGAATTTAATCTAAATGGTTTGAACTAGGACGGGTTTGAGAAGTGCCCAAAAATGTTCGGATTTTTGGTGGAGCTCAGAAAAACGTTACAAGAATTTGAGGACAAAGTGTCAGGTCAAGAAGTTAGATAACAAAGGCATGGGGAACATTTGCAAGTGTGTTTATGGGTGATTCCGAAAAATGGAATATTTGATAATAGCTCCCTAATATTGGGAGGATATGTTATATAGAGAAATCACCATGTGACTTCCCTCGGTTTAAATGGATCGAAGATCCACACGATTTATTTATTAGAGTTTTAAAAAAAGGGTGCATGATGACATGATGCAATGCATATGATGCCAAGATGAATGCAACGAACCAAACAAATCACACGACAAAACTCAGAATACATGGAAGGCATCTGGAGCCTCGGTCTTGGGGCGTAACAACACTCCTCCACTTACAAGAGATCTCGACCCGAGATCTAAGGATGGCACAGGGGAGGAATGGAAGAGGAAGAGGTAAAAACAAAGTTGTTTCTTGACAAAAGAGTGAAACCAAAGAACCTTAGAGGTTGAACAACTTGAAAGAAAGAATACAACAAAGATGAACAAAATTAAAAACACTCCGTTAGAAAAGAGGAACAAGGAACATTATGAGAACCTAGAGGTTAAGTGACAAGATAGATATGGAAACCACTCCGGTTAAAACAATATAGAGAAGGAATAAGAATGATATAATTTGGACAACACTCCAACTGCAAATGGACGGAATTGAACATGAACTTGACAAGATGAGAGGATACTTGATGAAATCAACAACACACTGCCTCCGGAACTATTGAAAGAATGGCACAAGGGGTAAGAAATATTTCACACAGCACTCCGATTGAGAAGGGAGGCAAAACTTGATAAGATGAGAGAACTTGAATGGAGGACACGACACTCCGGTTAAATGGATAAGCAAAGGGAAAAACATGATCTTTACAAAATGAGATGAGGGGTCAAAGAGAGCAACATCATCATGCCTCCGGAACGAAAGAATAGAAGCTGGATTGATGGAAAGAAAAGAACGGAGAAGAAAATGACAACTCCTACCACAAATGAATTTGAAAGCATCCTTGGAAAGAAGGATTGAATGGACTTGTTGAAAATCAACAGCAAAAGATATGATTTCCAGTGGTCTTATGGAAAACATCCCAAAATTATGAGGTGAAGACCAGCCACTAATGGAATCAATTGATCGCTTGGAATCAACCAAATGATGAAAACTTCTTTCGCCGAGAGGACAAGGAATACTTGGATCATTGATAGACACCACAATTAACAACATTCCTTAGGGAAGGCTTTAATTGAAATCTATACCAAGATAACTCCAACAAAGAAATTGATGGATTGAAAAGATTTCTTGAACGAAGATAAAATGATGGATTTAAAATATGTCATTCCGGACAACTTGTGAATCATGAAAAGCGAAGGGAAATTGTCAAGAGTGACATAACACCACCTCAAAAGATAAGAGAGAAAGAATTGCTTTCGGAATGCAAGATGAAGAATGCTTGAACTCCTCAAAACAAAACACGTGTTGAGCACCATGTTAAATTTTGAGTAAAGCTTGGCAGATCAAAACTTCGAGAGAAATCTTGAAGAACAATTGAAGAATGAAAGGAATCCTTGACGAACCACCATGTAGAGCCTCCGTGAAGAACTCCGGTAATAAAAGAATGATCAAATGAAAGGAAAGTTGAAAAGAACTCCGGGAGAAGCCTTGGAATGAATAGATGGAGCTTCGCGGCGAGATAAAGCGGAAAACTTGGAACTCCGGAAAAGAAAAGATGAAGCATCTCGAACCGAGAATGTGACATGATGAACAGCTCTGGAAAGAAGAAACTAGATCACTTGGATGAAACAATAATAAGAGTTACGTTATGCGTATCCTTCACCAATTTAAATTGATGACGAGCAACAGATTTGGCATACTACTTATTGTCGTAGAAAGGATTAAGATAGATATGGCGCAAACTTGACAAGGTCTTGATGGATCCACCGGTGGGGTTTGGAAATAACGAATGAATTTATATGATAACGATAAAAAGAGAAATCTTGAATGAACCACCGTAAGAATTGAAAATGAATGATGAAAATATAAAGAAACACCGGGAAGAATTAGAAACGAATGAAAATACTTGAGGAAATTAGATACAAGAGAACGAACAGATCACGAGCTGATTAGAGAATACTTGAATGATGCACCGGTAAGATTTGGAGAACGAGAGCTGAAAGCTGGAATGAATAATTCTGAGATGATGGGCTCCGGAGAATCAATTTGGAAAGACTCTTGAGTTGCTCTGGATGGGTGAAAAGAATTCTCACAACCGCAAACAATTATGAGAGGATGGCACCAAGCTTGAACTACACATCTTCAAGAGAACGGAGCAAGATTTAAGAGAAATTCTTCTTCGGTCTTCCAAATCCAAAAATAACGACGATAAACACCACCATGAATTGTTTAGACACTCCGGGAGAATCAAAAGCGAAGAGGTTGAGCCAACGATGAAAAGAATTTGAAAGATCTTGGAGAAATACATATGACTGATGATAATTCATTCTTACGTCAAATTTGGAGAAGAATTTGAGAGTAACTCCGGGAAAATTAGAAGAGTCGGGTAAGATCCTGGGAAAAGACCTGTGGGTTAGGGCCCACTCAAAAGAAACACCGTTGGAAATGATTGCTTAGGAAGAGATAATGCACCTCGAAATAGCTTAAAAGGAATAAGAATGGAAACTTGAATCTTCTGAGATATCCTCGGCACTTCAGAACAAATGAATAGCGAGAAGTGAATGATTAAGAGGTGCACCGACATGAGAAAGCATTTGAAACAAGGAAAAGATATGATCGACAAAGTTTGAGTTGAACCCACCGAAGAAGAAAAGAAAACGGAGAATGATAAACTTATAGAGCATCTTCATGAGAACCACCGGCATCTCCTATTCTATGTCTTATTTATCCATAGATTGCCCCTATGTCCGGCTAGCCCATTTTGCTTCGCGTGGCTCGTTCCCTCCATTGGAAAACCGCCTCGCACATTATGACCTGGAGTAGAAAAACTTTTGTTGTTCGCTCCATGATGAAAACCGGGTTAGCTGCTCGATTCAAAGAAAACCAACAACGGTTCTAACAGATTCTTAAAATGGTAATGAATTTAGTTTTTTCACAAATTTTTAAAAATTATGATTTTTTAAGCATTTCATGTATTAAAAAATTCATAATTCTAAAAATTGTTCTTAAATTTATATAAATTGTTTAAAGATTTTAAAATTATTCATGAAAATGTTGTTTTTGTATAATGTTTTTAGAGAATTATTAAAAACTAAAATAAAGGAAAGTAAAGCAGAAAAATAATCAAAAGCGGTAGAGAAAAGAACAGAGAAGGACGAGCGAGAAACGAAAGAAAAACGTATGGGCCGGCCCAAAAAGTCACACACCCCTACGTGATTTATGCGGAACATAGGAGATTCCTTCCGCCCCAACCACGAGCACGGGAAGACTGCCGCCTCCGAACCTAGGTCCTAAACCCCAGCGCCCGCCGTATCTCGCCGCCATGGCCGACGCCGCCGAGCAGTCCCAGTACGGCGAGCGCCTATCGCATAGCGCACCCGTCGGATCCCGGCGCACCTACACCCCGTACCACCCTGAGGGCCTCAACCTCCCATCGTGCCGCACGATCTACGACCTGCCGACCTCGCCGGAGGTTCTCTTCCCTGAGGAGACCCGCACCTGGGGCAGGAACCTCACGCTCTACCCCGGCTGTGGGTACGTCGCCGGTGCCGCGGCGGGGGCCGCCACGGGGTTCAAGCGCGCGGTGGCGGGGGCGGAGCGCGGCGAGTCGTTCAAGCTGCGCACCAGCCGCGTGCTCAACCACTGCGGCTCCGTGGGACGCCGGTACGGCAACCATGTCGCCTTGATCGGGCTGCTCTTCGCGGGGACCGAGTGCGCCGTGGGCAATCTTCGCGACGCTGACGACTGGCGCAACATCATCGCCGCAGGGTTTGGAACCGGCATGCTCTACCGTGCACCTTCGGGCCCGCGATCCGCCATCTTTGGTGCCGCAGTCGGGGGCCTCATGGCTGCTGCCGCCGTCGCAGGGAACCAGGTGTTCAAGGGAAACGGCCGTACCCCGCCCTTCTAAACCGGAGCACTCGTTAGTAAGTTTCGATCTACTGGGTTGGTGGAGTTAGCAGTAGTGGTATTTCAGTTTTCAGGTGAAGATCTTATACTGGTTATATGTATGAGTGTTATCAACACTAACAAGCTTTGTTGGTGATGGGTAGAGCACTGGAGTGCGATCTGTCGAATTAGCTCAACATGGACATGATTAGAAGTTATTGCCTTTTGTCTGAATCTTCAAAATCATGTCTGTTATGGTGATTGGTGGTGCTATGTTGCTATTTAGACTATGGATTACTTCAATGTGAGATATGTGATGCAAAATTATGTCATGATCTATGTTTGGTTTCTTCGTATGATGCATTTTGGGTGCTAATGGAAGTGATCGATTGGCGTGTGTCTGCCTGGCTGTATTGTTTTTGCAAGTAACTGTATGTTCAGTGTTGTTTGCATTGAATTTGATCCTCATGTTGCTCTTCTTTGTGTGGATAACCTGTCCAAATATCAACTGTTGTATCCAGTTTTACTCTTGCCTAGGCGCCAGTTGCATTATGCCATCAATGTCCAAGGCAAGACATACTGAATTGCTGCAAGATTTGAATATTAGGTCTTAGTAAGATGTATTAAGAATGACTATGAGTTGCTGCCTCTTGTTTAGAGCTTCAGAAAGGTTGTTCTTTGTTTGGTTTCTTCGTGTGATGCATTTTGGTTGCTACCGGAAGTGATCGATTGGTGTGTATCTGCCTAGCTATATTGTTTCTGCAAGTAACAGAATGTTCAGTGTTGTTTGCGTTTAATTTGATCCTCATGTTGCTCTTCTTTGTGTGGATAACTTGTCCAAATATCAACTGTTGTATCCAGTTTTACTCTTGCCTAGGCGCCAGTTGCATTATGCCATCAATGTCCAAGGCAAGACATACTGAATTGCTGCAATATTTGGATATTAGCTCATCTGTAAGATGTATTAAGAATGACTATAAGTTGTTGCCTCTTGTTTGGAGCTTCAGACTCAAGGTCAAGGTTGTTATGGTGATACTCCCTCTGTAAAGAAATATAAGAGCATTTAGATCACTATAAAGTAGTGATCTAAACGCTTTTATATTTCTTTACGGAGGGAGTGCTATATTGCCATATATATTATGCGTTAATGCGATTGTGGTATATGGATGCATAATGTGCCCCTGCCATTTAGTGTCTTCAAATATTCTGCATCTTTTGGTTACTACTGAAAGTGTTTGTTTAGTGTGGCTATTAGCAGCATAACTCCAAAGGACTCTGTTCTGTATTGCTTTTCAAAGTAATGATATGTGATGTTTAAGTTTTCTAGAAATGAACTGGTAGTAGCCATGATACCAAACCAAATTATGCTTCTTTGATAATTTTGGTTACTCTTGATTTTGGCACCAGTGATCATCTCAAAATTTGGGCACCAGGCTTTGATAATTTTGCAGCAATGGCATGTTAATATGATAGTTGGATATGATGTCTGAATACTAAATTAAAGTAACAACTTTAACTTTTCAAGGGAATGTAACAAATTCTGCACTTGAGTTTGTGATATCTACCGGTCCTTGTTAGTTAGATTGTTAGAAGTTCAAGTTCTATAGTTCTGGATGCTGACGTTAGGCTTGGTTTCTCAAGGCAGAAGTGACATTATTAATTATCTCAAGTCCTCCCCAACTCATTTTGTTCAATCAAATAATGATTAGTCCTGATAAAATTTCGGCTATGGTTTGGCGCAGTAGGATGTGTGGTATATGTGATGCATAACATGTATTTGCCCAAGCGCTTAGTGACTAAAATTATGGTGCGTTTTGGTGGCTACTCAAAAGTGTTTGATTAGTGTGGCTATTTAGTATATAAAGCAGAAGCTCTATGTTCTTTATTGCTTTTTGTAACTTTGTAAGTGAGATATGTGATGTTATTCCTTGCTGTGTTGGTAAGTTGTCCGAACGTGAACTGTTCATAGCAATGATACCAAACCAAAAATCCTTGATTTGGCACCAGGGCAATCAAGTTCTGGTCGGAGCAAGAATATGGAGTTTGCATTATTGGTGTCATTTTGATAATTGTACAGCAATGGACATGTTGATGTGATGTACTAGTTGAATACTTGAATACTTCTTTTTTGCTGGGTATCTGAATGCTAAAGTAGAGCAAGAACTTTTATCTTTGAGTAAAGTGCACTTTTCGTTCCTCAACTTATCGCGAAGTGTGTTTTCGCCCCTCAACTTTTTTGGGTGCAACCTTCATCCTTCAACTCTCAATACCTGGTAGATTTAGTCTATTCCTTGGTCAAACCCGGTTTAGCTGATGGTCAAAGCGGTATTGGAACTTGACATAGGTCGCTGGTGACCAAGCTATGGTCTAAAGGGTGTGCAAAACTTCCCTAAGCATGAGCATATGCTTGGCAGCAAAGATGGTGCCGCTGTTTGTCGGAAATCCTCACCGGAGCAAAGCCTACGTTCCTATACCCCTTTGACCACGAGCTAAACTAAATCTATGGCATAAGTTGAGGGACAAAGATTGCACTGAAAAAAAGTTCAGGGACAAAGGACACACTTCACGATAAGTTAAGGGACATAAAATGCACTTTACTCTTTATTCTTTTTAATGGAATGCTACAAATTCTACAACGCTTTGAGTTACTGATATACCCTGGCCCGTTTCAGTTTGATCGTTGGAAGTTGAAGTTCAGTAGTTCTGGATGCAGACATTATGCTTGATTTTCTCATGACAGAAGTAGACATTGCTAATCATCTTGCACCCTCCCCGACTCATTTTGTTCAAACGAATAGTAATAAGGCCTGATAGATTTCTGGTATAATGTGTTATTTCAATTTCGGCTGCAACTCTTGTTAGCTACTGTTTGGTGTTGGATTTTTTATGCTCTGGTGTCGGGGGAATGACCCCCGGTACCTCAAAGATGGCGAAACAACGCTTCAAAACATCGGGGCGGCCAACACCCCTCAGTTCGACTGCTCCGGCCGCTCCAGACGGCCCTCTGTCCGACTGCCCCGGCCGGCTGCTCGTCCGGCTGCTCTAGCCTGCCTGCTACGCGAGTCAACTGCAGCTCCGATCCGACACCGACAAGACGACCATACCGCGGCCATGCTTGACCACTATTGCTGCATGGGCATACACTGTTCATCCGTCCTCAGTGACGTCATTCATAGTGTACAGCTTGAGATGTAAGCTACTCATTGTAGCTTACATCCCAAACCACTCACTCCCAGGCCCATTGCTCATCCGTCATCAGTGATGTCGTCCATAGTGTACAAGCCACGACCATACTTGAACACTAGAGCATGCCACACACATATACGAGGTCAGATGCCCATGGCACTGACCTCAGATACAGCTTCAGGAGCAACTCTGTACTGTCAGACATGTACACTATGTATATTCAGACATGCAGGAGTAGAGGTATTATCTTTCCGGAGAGCTCTGAACCTGGGTAAACTACCATGTGCTATTCGCATACCCGTCCCGGATATTTCACTGTAGCCTTGCTCCACCCATGATAAGCCACCCCGTGGCATCTGCCGTGACGCGGTGCCCCTTGGCCACCCACGTGAAAATACTACGACATCTGGTTTTCCCAGCAATACAGGAGAACAATTGATGTCGACTTGTAATTGCCTTCCGAACCTTCGGCACCCTTTCAAATCTCATTAGAACATGCATTGCCAACTGAAAATCCTGTGTAAATCCAACTTCTTTTGGTCCTGTTCAAATCCTGTGTACAAAAGACTAGCATTTCAGTTGGATTTTTTTTCAAAAATAGCATGTTTTTATAGCAATTTCGGAAATTAGTAGTGCTAACACGTTATTTGCAAAACTAGCACCCCATCGGCCTCCGGTTGGCCGAAGAAATGACTCCACCTCACTTGTACGCACAAATAGCTATCCCATTGGGAAAAAATGACCGTAGGCCGGTGGAGATGGCTACGATCTACCGTTTCTGTGGTTTGGATTCGAAAATAGGTGGAGAAACGAAGAGATTAGTGAGGGGGGCGATGTACAGAGAGGAACGAGAGAGAGAGAGAGCAAGAACACTGAGAGGAAAAAGAAGACCACACTCGGGCCTTATCCAAAGCTCTTCGGCCGCTGGATAGCCGATGAGGTCTTCGGTCGCGGGCTGGCCGAAGAGGCCCGTCTTCGGCCCAGTTCACGCGTTCTTCGGCCACACTTAACTGAAGAGGCCTCGTCGGGCTTCGGCCGGCCGAAAAGGCCCACTTCGGGCAACGGCTGACTAACGGGGTGCTAGTTTTGCAAATAATGTGTTAGCACTGCTAGTTTCCGAAATTGCTATAAAAACGTGCTACTTTTGAAAAAAAA